TAACGTGATTGCTCAATGCAGGATGAATGAGCTACAAGTCATGAGTTTGATTGGGCAATAGTATTCACGATCTCAGTCAAGGCATGGTCTATGACCAGATTGTATTGTTGAAGGGATTCCCTGAATTTGTCTTTTCTGCCATGCTATACTTCAAGGTTGTTGAATACATGTACTGTACCTTCATCCCAAATCCATAATGCAACACTGTGAGAAGAGGATGACTTGAACTGGAGTATGAAATAAAATGGTAGCAGATTGTTTTGCAGGTACATGTACACTACACCCATGCGGTTGTGCATAAAATGTATTGCTTACTTGTCATCCAAACCCATAATGCATTGCGAAACAACAAAAGGTTTATTATAGGTAGGGGAATGACTAAATGAGTGAGAGCGCTGTTTATTTGGAAACTCGTTTTCTCAAATAGTCTTTTTTGCATGCAGTTCCATTTTCAAATTTTTTTGAAATTTGAAGTAAAGCCTGCATTTGATTCATTGCAATACGGCACAAATAAGAACAAAGATTTTACAAAAACATAAATGTAAATCTTTCAGTTAAAGTCCACACTCATTTTTGTGTACAAAATAATCACAGTTTGCTGTGCATTACATGTGTACAAAACACATCTCAAAACATCCCCACTTCAAACACATTTTTCTTTGCTTTTCAGAGTCCGACAGAATCCAAATTTATATCAAAATATTTCTTATGACATCCTCTTCAAGGTAACATCAGTAGAGCAATGTAGGCCCTATAATAGGGAGGCTAATCAAATTAATTCAAAAATTTATTAATTTATGTTGTGGAGTGGTACTAGGTCTAAGCCTAGGACAGTTTCTACAAAAAGCCTAGCCTTGCCCAGCCGTGCACATGGTGCAGCTTACAAAGAAGACAGGGACTGCAAAAATAAGCAGGACTTTTGTCAGGGTAGGCCTGGGCTATATTCTGAAGTGTCTCATGAAGTTGTCGCATTAGACCTATATTTTACCAAACTATTTAGAGATACTTACCAAAGCTTCACACACAAAATACTACAAATGGAGTCAACTAGCTTTTAGCGAACGAGGCCTGTTCCTCCTTGGGGTAGATGTCAAGTGCCAAGGCTAGCCAGCTGTATGTACATGTACATGTAGTGGAGGTCGCACAAAAACTTTCCTTCCTATCCTTGACAACATAACCCCCGGAAGTGAAAAATTCGGTTATCGACAGCGTCCCCAGCGTTCATAGATTGGGGCACAACAAAAAGCAAAAGGCGACGGACGACGGCAGATATTGAATTCCATACGATGGGCCTTTTGCACCGACTACGAAAAGTATCATAGGCCTACATAGGCCTACATATACCGTGCCAAAACGTTAGCAAGCCATGAAAACAAAAGAGGTTTTCAACGTACCTGCATCGGTTGACCATCTTTTGAGTTGTTTTTGTGGGAAAATGGTACCATATGATGTCCCACGTTTTACCAATGACGTCCTTTTTGTGCTGAAAATCAAAGATTGTATAGCGTAGCGCTATATAATCTTTGCTGAAAATCGTGAAGTTTCACAAAACTTCGAACACAGCATGATCATCGCGGGCCGGGCCGGACGGACAGGACAAACACATGTACACCGCCCTCAATTGGAAAAGGCCAGTAGCGCAAACAAGATAAGACTACTGGAGCTTCAAGCTTCGTCCGAGCATTGGTCCAATTCACTACACACAACGTACACAGAGCAGTGACCTGGAGGTCAAGTACAAGTAGACCGAGAATTACCGCGCTCTCGACGTCGCGTGAAGTTTGTGATTGTGCACGTTACAAGAGGGAGAGGCTCCTGCCCAATCTCCTCCTGGGGAAAGAGAAAATAAAAGTGGGTGAAAATCGCAAATGGGATTTGAAACTGTTTTGCGTTATCCCTGCTTTTGCCTCTGACCGGGGTTTCTTTGAACATTTTTTCCAAATCAAAGGGCCCTCTTTCTTGTTTTTTTCTATATCACAGTTTTGACATTAGGGAAAAGTGAGTAAATCAAATCCAATTAAATTACTTGAAAATACCTCGGCGTTAACACCCTTCTACCTTTAATTCTTTTTTTTTTCAGTTTAATGCTGATGAATGCAGTGCCCTCCCCAACCCAGGAGAAATGCCAACACTTATGCCTAACAAGATCCATTTCAGAAAATGAAATATTTCCACAATATAATTCGATGTAAATCAGAGACTTTTTTTTTCTTATCTTATTCTTTTATTCAGGAAAAAAAATTGAGCAATACCTTTTAAAAATCTTCATATTCGTTGGGATATACTCATTAAATCATTTTTCCTTTAATAGCTTCTTAAATTTCTGGAGCAATTTTCAACGAGAGTAATCCATAAGGCATAACTTCCAGGTTTCTTACAAATATACAAGTAACTTAACAGGAACAGAAAGTCGCAAAAAAGGAGTAATAAAGTGCAGTTCAAATCATGGACTTATTATTAATGTCTCAGGCTATATATTTTATTTCATTCAATTAAAATCCCCCGACTATTACACTGATTACAGAAATTACAAAAAGTACATGGAATACTACTCAAGACTTCAAAATCATTTTGTGCACACAAATTCCCTTGGTTTGCCTCAAGTGTATTGACCTTGAGTGGCAAAGAACAGGCCATACAAGATCAAATTTGTACTCTCTAACCCATATTTCTCCAAAATGTCTAAAAGGCAAAGGGCTTGTATTCATTTTACATAAGCCTGACACATAAACAAGCCCATTTTTGATTGGTGGACCATTTTGGAATACAAGATGCATAGACCAAAGGCACTTGGAAGTTTCCTGAAGGAGACTGGACCTGTTCAGTGCTAAAGCCTTAAGCTTTCTATATTATTCTTCTATCGCAAGGTGTTGCCATCTTAAGACTCAAATCTGTGACTTTCAAGACCAAGTATTGCAAATCGGATAGTGAATCTTCTGTTTATGAAAAAAATCAAACGAGTGGAAATGAAGAAACATGAATAGCCATTTACTTCTCAAATCATCCACCCCTTTCCTCTTGTCCACTTGCAGGTGGGTATAATTTTGGCCAAACATTTCAACTCTTGAAAAAGGTAAGTCATGGCCATCAACACAGCCAAATACCACAAATACTGATTTACACAAGTCATCTGAAAGAGTATTTGTAACACATATCTTACCACAACCTCATACTTTCCAACAATATGGGACGTGCCCATGGAGTGGTACATACTACAACAGGGCCATATATGCACTGCTACCAAGTTCAAATTTAACACACAGTGTACC